GAGAGAGAGAGAGAGAGAGAGAGAGAGAGAGAGAGAAGCGCTGACACTCCTTCACTTAGTAAACACACAGGAGACTGCCAGCCAGCCAGCCACCATAGTTGCCAAGCTTCGCCACGGCGCACCCATCAACAGCTAGCCGGCAAGTGTCGGAGGGTGTCGTACGCCACCTTGACCTTGCCCAGCGGTTCCGTCAGTGTGGAGGAAGGGGGTGAGGAGCAGTGGGTGTCCGTGGGTGTGCGAGGTAGTGGACCAGAAAGCACAGCTCTGCCAACACCACCGGTACACAGTCGGGAGGCGGCGTCGTGTGCCTGGCCCGCCACCCCGATAATAAAAACCTTACAACGTAATATACTTCAAACCGCTTATCATACTCATCCCACGAGTATAATCAATATACCGGTGTTCAATAATTAAATATAATGTTATATCAACATAGAGGGTGATATTAAGGTAAGTATGTGTGGGTCATATCGGGTGTTCCAGCTCTCCCTCACACCAAGTTGCTTCGCAGACTAAACAGCGGTGGTGCCACATGTCTTTAGCGTATGCACCTCACACAAACCTTCCCCTTCACTCACACACTACCAATCACCAATTTTGAACATAATAACGCCAATCGCATTGCTGGTGAAAATGTCCAAAAACAACGCATTGGGTAAATATTGTAGAGTGTGGAGTTGGATAAGCGGCAGCGGCGCATCTGTGGAAGGGAGGGAGGGAGGACCGTAGTCTTCCACAGTGAGAAGTTTGCACCGACTGTGAAGCCAACCAGCCAGCTGGCCTTACCACCCACACCCTCACCTTCCCCTAGTATATATAACCACTCCACAGGCCCCGTCTTATATGCGCCCAGTCCACCCCTCATGACGGCTGGCCTGAGACCAAAGCCATGCCAGCAAGAGAGAGTCTAGCGACTTATACACACACCATGTTGACCCAACTTGCACATACGCCACTGTTGCGGCAACTTTTTAAAACAGGTGCTAACAATAACAGAAGCGCTCGCTCCCTTTAAACACTTATAGGCATTCCTCTCAACTATTGCGCTCGAAACCATGCTTCTATGTTTAATTGTATACTGTATTTGTTACGTATAGACAAACAGTAGCTAGCAAACATAGGCCTCATACGAATTAGTCTCCCAGCCTTTAAGATAAGGATTTGCCTTACCTTAAGGTGGCTCCAAGGATCACTGACCACCTTGTACCTGGTTGTACCTGGATGGGGTTCTGAGAGTTGTTCTAATCCCCTATACCCGGCCTGGGGGCTTTGGTTACTCTTTGTCAACCAGGTCGTCAGACGCTGTTATGTACGTGTCCTTTGGAGGAGTATTTTGTTAAATTTTGCTCCGAGGGGCGAGTTTATTGGGCAGCGTCACTCATCCTGAGTGGACACACCGCCATAGTGACAGTATTGGGCAGCGCCACTCATCCTGTGAGTGGACACACCGCCATAGTGACAGTATTGGGCAGCGCCACTCATCCTGTGAGTGGACACACCTCCATAGTGACAGTATTGGGCAGTGCCACTCATCCTGTGAGTGGACACACCGCCATAGTGACAGTATTGGGCAGCGCCACTCATCCTGTGAGTGGACACACCGCCATAGTGACAGTATTGGGCAGCGCCACTCATCCTGTGAGTGGACACACCGCCATAGTGACAGTATTGGGCAGCGCCACTCATCCTGTGAGTGGACACACCGCCATAGTGACAGTATTGGGCAGCGCCACTCATCCTGTGAGTGGACACACCGCCATAGTGACAGTATTGGGCAGCGCCACTCATCCTGTGAGTGGACACACCGCCATAGTGACAGTATTGGGCAGCGCCACTCATCCTGTGAGTGGACACACCGCCATAGTGACAGTATTGGGCAGCGCCACTCATCCTGTGAGTGGACACACCGCCATAGTGACAGTATTGGGCAGCGCCACTCCTCCTGTGAGTGGACACACCGCCATAGTGACAGTATTGGGCAGCGCCACTCATCCTGTGAGTGGACACACCGCCATAGTGACAGTATTGGGCAGCGCCACTCCTCCTGTGAGTGGACACACCGCCATAGTGACAGTATTGGGCAGCGCCACTCATCCTGTGAGTGGACACACCGCCATAGCAGCATGTACATCACTTTGGAGGAGTTTATCAAGTTTTCTATTGAACACTGAGAGGTCGGTTAGTTATGCCCCTTATATATATAGAGGGAGGGCGTTTTAAAGTCTTGGGCCCCCGTAATATTCCCCTTATATATATAGAGGGAGGGTGTTTTAAAGTCTTGGGCCCCCGTAATATTCCCCTTATATATATAGAGGGAGGGCATTTTAAAATTTTTGGCCCGGTAATGTAAATGCCTTTCAACTTACATTTCGTACTTTCTGCTATGTCTCCTTTTCTTGTAAAGAATTATTTCTGTGTGGAGATTTGGAACGAGTTCCGAGTTCCTCTTAAATATTTTACATGTAAATTACTGTCTCGTCTGCACTACCAGGAATACAGTTTTGCAGATTTTAAGTGGTCCCAAAAATTTAGACTTGAATGAATTCGAGCAGTGAAAGTTCTCTGTACGTTCTCCAAGTCAGCAACTTCTGCTGCTTCATATATAGCAGTTAGTGTGCCATAATATTTAATTCTAAAAAGCACTAATATGTTTAATATTATAAGTTTGGAAACTCGCGTTTTTAAAGGATTTTGACACCAGTGTGTGATTTTTATTGCAGTTATGACAGCTGTTTTCTTAAAGCAAGGTTCAGCTTATATAATTTCAGCTGTATTTTTTAGAATACAGAAATGAAAATTCTTAAAATGCATTCAGAACATATTAGGCTATTTTTAATATTACATTTGTGGAAAAGTGACTGATAACAAAATGTATTAATAGAACATTATGGGTTATTGTAACAATTGTAAACCTATATAGGTTTACAATTGTTACAATAACCTACAACCTATAACTTATGACCTGTTGTAGGTTATACCCTATAACATTACAGACCTATATTCATAGACAGCATTATTACCATCCTAACAATCATTCTCCCTGCAACACTAACACCACCATCACTGGCCATTCATCCCTAGTGTCATCATCCTGGTTGATACCTGGTTGAGGTTGATCTCATCCCTTGTGTGTTCAGTATGGCCCAATAACCAGGAGACGCCTGGAGAGACCAGGCTGTAGGGACGTTGATCTTCAGAACCAATGCAAGGCTAGTAAGGAAGGTCTCACCCCAAATTACTTCCCAGCCACATCGGAAAGAAAACAAAATTTCTTTCTGTGAAGGAACAGACAAAAACAGTGAAGGAACTGGTGACGAAAGTGAGATAAAAGGAGGTGATAGAGAATGACTTATGTGTGTGAGAAACTCTTTACAGCCACTCCATAAAAAATCTAAACTTTTAGCCTAACCAGAAACGTAGCAACCCAATCAACCAACCTAACCTATAGAGTTCAATGCATACTTGTGTAAAGGAGGAAATGTATGTGTTTATCTCTCAGAATGTTTGGTAATATGTTTATTGCTTGTGATGTGTGTCTATGTATGTATTAACATGATGTACTGAACGGGGTGAGAATAGCTTGAGCTACCTCATCCCTTTGTGTGTATTTTACCTCAATAAACTTATTTCAATTTCAGTTCAATGCATAGAAATCGTGAACATTTGAACGCAAATTAATTTCAGAAGCATACCACCAGACTATTCCCAGAGCCATGTAGTATGATTTACACGTAGAGGCTATAGGAATTAAACCTCACATCCCTGAAGAAAAGGAGTATTAGGGTAGACATGATTACCACATACAAAATTCTCAGGGTAACTAATAAGAGTAAATAAGGACAGACAATTTACAATGAGTGGTACTCTAACAAGGGGACACAGGTTGAAATTGAGTACTCAAATAACATTTTTTGCTGTCAGAATAGTAAACAAATGGAATGCATGAAAAAGCAAGATGTTAGAGGCATGCACAGTTTCAAATATACATATGATAAAGAGCCCAATAAGCTCAGGAATTTATATACCA